TGCAGTAGTTCTAGAGATAATCGTCCAAGTCTAAAAATTCTCTTAATTCCTTACACCAGTGTATATAAAACGACCTATTGCTTCGTTAGGTATTTATGGTTAATGGTTATTAAATTTGTGCAGATAGCAGTTTCGTGTAATTTTCATACCTAAATTAATTTACCGAGAAATTTTTTTCTTTCTAATATAGCGCTGGTGTAGGACGATCCGGTACCTTCATAGCATTAGACAGGGTGCTACAGCACATTCAGAAACATGACTATGTAGATATTTTTGGTATTGTTTCTGAAATGCGCAAAGAAAGAGTATGGATGGTACAAAATGAGGTAAGTTCTCTTGATTAAATGGTACACCATCTTATCAGTCATGACCTTATCCATCTAATCAACATTCAGCTGTTTTTATTGAAGCAACACGGAGAGAAAAAAATCTGTAAAATTACGGTACTGTATTGTAAAGACAATTTTAGCGGTAAAAACCATTAATCTTAAAATGAGGAGTTTCCAGTGTTCTGCCCTCTTCAATTGGTAACCTTGTACTTTTAGAATACGAACTATCAATTATGAAGCTATCATAGATGACGTGACCACAGAGCTCATATTGAGTCACATTCCGTGGTTCATGCGAAAAAACACAACTCAACCACTACTTAACTTTGATATCCATTACCTTGCGAAAAAACAGCCAAAGTTCAGTTAAATTTCATTTTTATGGTTTTGAAATCATGTTAATTCTAAATGGTTACGAAATTGGATAGTTTTGTATTCACGTTTTTTAACAATACCAATTGAAAACGGTTTCAAACCCGTGATGGGAAAAAAAATGTTTTTAACCGTAAACTTTACATTTAATCAGATGGACAGACTGCTGGCGGTGATTTTACCGTAATTTTAGAATGGAAATTTTAACAGAGTATGAAGAACCCAACAATATTTGTAACTATATATTTCCTCAAGAATTTATTTTTTGTCTTTACCTACAAAAAACAAGATGGGCGATTTGCTTTTATCAAATTGCTTCTTAGTCAATATAATGATGAAAATGCCCATTTCATCAATTAAGATACTCGATTTATATCTCTAACGTCATATTGAAATAGTTGCGTAATGAATCAACGAATTTGTAGTTAGTTCTGTTCAATTTATTCATTAGTGATATTCTTTGCTAAAACTGATGTAGAAAGATGAGCATTATTAGGAAATTATTAATTGAAGCAGGGTCTTTAATTATACAAAAAGCATTCAGTATGTTTATTTAATGTACATATACCTGTTTTTCATACATAATTTAAAGATTTTAATTTAGACTTTTTGTTCTCAGTAAGTTATAAGTTCGAGTCACTAATTACTAATTTGGGAATAAAGCATTAATTAGAGAAATTCAGCTGTAAATACTAATTACAATTGAAGTTATAACATAAGTGACATAATAAAAATCAAGTTACATTTGACAAAAGAATGTCGAACATTCGGAGTAATCATCGTTTTCATTATTAGATTATCTTTAAAAAAAATGGTAAATTTTAGTTAAAAACTTAATGTGCATTTAATTATAATTTTTGTGAAATTAATTGATTAAGTTGAAAACTAAAAAAAAAGGACACGTTTTCTCTGAATGCTCGCTTCATATGCATAGATTTGAAAATAAATGAGCAACTGGGTAACAATAAATGAGCAACACTTCCGGCATCTTTTAAGGCGAAGAACGAAAGTTCAGTGCCTGCCGTTATTATTAATAAAAAGATTTAAAAATTGAGAGAAAAATAAATTGGAATTTCAAACTAGAAAAGTAAAAATAGAAATGCAAAAAAATATTAACAGTGAAATGAAATGTATATTTCTGCATTGTTTAAATGTTTAAATTTTTGCATTGCTTGAATGTAATCTATGTCGTTCTCGATGGTCTGAAGTTGACAGCAAAGTTTTTTTTCCCAACTGCCATAACGATTTATCTTTTTCTTTTCAGCAACAATACATATGTGTTCATCAATGTTTACAATGTGTTCTAGAAAAGAAAGAAGAATTTTTAGAGCTTGGTAGGCCCGAAGCGCACGATAATCAAGGGTACGATGGTAAGTTTCAATAATTATTTGTTATTGCATTTCTAGCATTTTACGAGAGTGGAAATTGTACTGATGGCTTAGTGAAATTAATATTTCTAATCGGAGCAATATATAATTCATTGTATTGCTAAGACTCGAATACTTTTCTAAATTGTTCCACTAAACGTCAAGACTGTTTCTTCTAAAATCCCTGAATTCTTTTTGCTAAAAGTCTTAACCTTTCACTGTCTGCATATCTATAAAGCAAAGATCAAATTGGATTTTCGTCGCTGTCCTCCATAATTTAACATTGAAAACTGATTTGCACATCTGCAGAAGAATCTGCAACAAGAATTGACCGCCATTCTGTGCTAGTTTAAACGTTGAAGGACATGCTGTTTCGCCGCGTGTAGCTTCTTTACGTCAGTTAGAGGCTTACTACCATTTCGGTAAGAGACATAATTGCTGTCCTGAACAAAATTGTTTATCATAGCAATTTGAAGCTTTAGGTATTTCATTTCTTATACTTCGGGTTTTTAATTGATTTTTGATGATTTAGTGCTTATTATCGAAAAGATTCTATTGTTTACATTAACATTGGGAATCATTTAATTCTTAGGGAGATTTCGCACTTTTACGTTAGCTTACGTATGTTCCGTACGTAAGATTTAAATCAACTACGCAACTGTGCTCGTGTTTAGTTTAGATGCTACGTATCTTTACGTTATGCTGGCGCAATTAACGCTATAAAGACAGAGCTACAAGCATGTGGTTTACATCTGTTAAATGTTGTTTTGTGTTAAAGCCAAACTTAAAACTTAAAACATGGACATAGAATGCGAATTTCAAGAAATATATTGATGAAATTTAGAAATGAATTATGCGACATTACAACAATTGGTTGAACGAAAAGATCGTCTACGCCCATTGTAAATGTTTGTTATGATTTTGTTGTGGAAGTTAAAACGATATTTTACTACGTTAGCGTTTTTAACTTACCGATTTTTGCGAATTCTCTTATTTCTGCATACGTAAGTTTGATATTTTTTTTTCACGGGCTCATGTACATTTAACCAGAATTGACGCATGCGCACTTCGAGTGCTCATACGCATTTACTCAAAATCGTACGGGAGAATTCGGAAGATAACTTAAATTTGCAAAATCTGCCTAATAATATTGTACACACAGATTTGCAAAGTGCAAAAAAAAAAAAAAATGTCTGCGCTTTTTTTTCCATCTTGTATTTTTCTTGAGAAATTCTGCATATGACAATAATTATTATTATTCACTTTTAAAAAGTGTGCAGTCAAGGGTTCAGCAACTGCAATTTAAAAATGTTCCCTACCTAAGATTGTTAGCAGGCGAGTGCATTGCACTGTGTAATATAATACTATGCCCAAATCTAATATTTTGGAAATTCACTAAAAATATTCCATATTACTTAAGCAAAGTTTAAAAAAATATATCCTTTTATGTAGGAGAAAAAAAACGATATTAACTGATTTGTTTTGATAAATTACACGTCAATTATTTACGTGTATCGATATTAAACTACTTTGATGTAGTTTTATCAGGAGCTGTAATTTCTTTTTTGTATTTTTTCCTAAAATAATAATTAACTTAGATTATACCGGTTGGGATTTTAAAAGCATTTTCAAACAATCCCATTTTTATTTTCAGTAACATTTTCAAAAGGTTTTAATTCCAAGTACACTATTTGAATCAATTGATATTGAATACCTTATGTCTTGTGAATAGGTGCATACATCAAATACTGCAATACATATGTTATTTTTGTTACACTATAAAATTTTAAACCTTAGATTGTTTCCCATTTAATTTCAGAAACATAAAATCTGGTAAATCTTCTTTTTAAAAAAAATCTTTCATAAAATCTTTTTAAAATATCTTTTCTTATAAAATCTTCTTTTTAAGAAATCTTTTCATAAAATCTTCTTTTTAAAAAATCTTTTCATATAAAATCTTCTTTTTAAAAAAACTTTTCATATAAAATCTTCTTTTTAAAAAATCTTTTCATAAAATCTTCTTTTTAAAAATATCATTTCCTATAAAATCTTCTTTGTTAAAAAATCTTTTCATAAAATCTTCTTTTTTAAAAATGCAATTTTGCAAAAGTTAAATATTTAAAACAATGAATGTACACAATTCTTTAATACAAAAATTAGTCAAATAATTTACTGTATATTTATTGTTTTCCAAGATTTAAAATTACTAAGAAAAATTTAGGAAGGTTAGGTTTTGTAAATATAAATCAGAAACACAATTGAGTTTTGATATATATTTTTAAAAAAGTCGACTAAAATATTTGAAGTAAATTAAAATGAAGAGCTATTTAAAAATTAATAGAGCTCGACTGTGAATGAAACAAAACTGAATTATTTCTTTTCTTATCTATTTTGCTTCAAATAAAAGGATCGCTTCCATCTTCTTTCAAACATTCCATAGCTCTGCCCAATGGAAATGCAGTGAAAAAAGACTGAGATATTTTGTAGTTGGAAGGTTTCTTTGTAATGTAGAGACTGCCATACAAATTATTTGTCATCTTCCATACTGGTAAATATTCACGGATTAGCCAAAGCATGATTCCTCCTAAATGAAAGATTATGTCTTCATGTTTGCCTGCTTTAAGTGGTTGCATGATTTTTTATTTCATTTTTAACCTTTAACCCCTTAACGATCTGTTAATTTTCAAGAAAACGATCATAAAAGTGACTATTTTGCCAAATACGCGTATTTGATTAGTGCTGACATCTAGTTCAAAATAAACTAACTATCTACAATTACCTAAAAGATATCCTGGTACTGCCATCTGGTGTGTAAAATGAGAAATAAGATGTTTTCCGAGCCAAAAAAAAATGAATTAGTTTAATTCTTATTGGCTCGTCACTACTGAACACTCAAGCCCGGAAATTTCACGGGAGCGAGAAGGAAGGGGTTAATAGCTATACGGTGAATTCATCTAACAATTATTTTGTTAAATTGTTTTCTTCATTCTTTTCTTACAACTGTTTTTGTAATACTTTCAAGCAACATTGACAGTTTTATAACGTAAAAAATTTTTGTCAAATACATACCATAAGAATTTATTTCCCATTTTGTTACTCACGTTTAAAAGACGAGCTCAGAGTGTTCTATAATCGCTCTCCTTTAATCGCGGCTTCAAACCACTGTTATTTGTTCAATATTTATTATTCACACTACTTTGTTTAAAACTTGAATCCACTATCTTTACAATGGAATCCCTTCTCCTTTCATCGGTGCTTAAAACCACTGTCTTTTGATCAATTTTTATAGTTCACTCTGTTTTGTTTAAAACTTGAACCCACTATCAGTTGAAGAACTAATTTAGAATCCTTAAAATTATGTGTTTAATAAAGGTCACAAATTACTTTTTGAACAATGGATTTAAACACTGTAAAAAAATCAGTTAAATTTACAGAAAAAAAAGTCTGCTGTTGTGCCAGTATAAAATCGTTTATTTTTCAGAAAAATACTGTTATTTAAGAACGGGAGCCTGTTTTTTAAGCAGATAAGTTCTGTTATTTCAACAGACAAACTCTGTTATCTTAACAAAAAAAAACTTTGTAAGGTAACTATGTCAACATTATGGTCGGTGAGAGGATAATTTGCATGGTCAGCCAAAGTCGGGATTCGTACCCCGGTCACCCCCAAATTTGTATTTATTTTGTAAAAAATATATTTCTTTTGTCTTTGTATAGTTATTTTGATTATTTATTTCCTTGCATAAACAGAGATAAGACACGGCTTAGAACTGAATGTTGACGCATGTAAAATGTGTTTGTATAATATTCATGTAAAAAACAGCATGTGCATGTTTTTCGAATGAGGTTATAAATTACTAACTTTTGTATTTTATAAATTTTTTAAAATTTTTTACTTATTTTTTTTGATGTATTTATATGCTCTTGCTTGCATTCAAACTATATGTTTTATAAATTACCTTATTGTGTAAGTCTACATATAAGCTTAAATCTGAACAACGTTGCTCAGTTTTTATATTATTTATTTTATAACGTTTTTTTTTAAATTTGCAAACAGTTTTTGAAAAATATATCCTGAATTCATATTATATTTAGTTTTTCAGCTAATGAAATATTTAAACTTAAATTGTTGGTTTGCCTTTTATAGATTTGTTTAACTAAAATCCATTTTAACTTTGTAAAATCTATAACATAATGCCCAAAAACTTGAATAAAAAAGCAATTTATGCTCTTCTAGCACCATAATCACAAATAATAATCATTTTAAATGAATAATGAATCAGTACATAGCATATCAATAAGAATCAATTTAGGGAAAATTAATATAAATTATCTAATTGCAAATTAAAATGTTAATGAATACACAGAAATAAATATGAATCAAACTACTAGATATCAATATGAATTACCACATTGTAAATAAAAAGTTGAGCCAATACATTGAAAATTAATATGAATCAATACATAGAAAATAAATATGAATTAACCCATTATAAATTAAAATGTTTATGAATACATTGAAAATTAAAATGTTAAACAACACATTGAAAATTTATATGCATTAGCACATTATATATCAATATGAATCAACCACATTGTAAATTGAATCAATGTATTGAAAATTAATGTGAATCAACAACTTTTCAACAGAAAAAAATTTTCACTTTTGATAAATAATTTAGTAACTTTAATATTAAACTAAACGTTATGACAAAATTATACTTGATATGGAGCAAATCTGTTTTGTCACAAATCTGTACTAATTTAAATTTTTTATTTTTGAATTCGAAACTATAAATATATATGAACTAATTTATATTAAATGAAGCTTTAAGAGTTTCTGTAAATTCTAATAAACCTGAAAAAAAGATTTTATAAATTGCGTAATAGGAGCCTTAATTGTTTTTAATCACTGACAGTATTTTTTTTTCTTCACATTTTAAAAATAAATTTATTGCAAATTTGCGAATGAATATAGCTTTAAACACTGATAGTTAACTATCTCGGTTGCTATGAACATATATCTCCCATCTTTGAAATTTAACTTTATTTTATCATAAATATATCCTGTTGATTTATGATAGCTATATGCTTGTATTAGATTAAAGATAATTCTATTTGAAATCAAGTTTCATTTATTACTTTCAAGAATAATTAACTCTTTATAAGCCAATATTTTACAGCAATGTCATATTAAAATATTTTTGGATTTGAAATTGATTTATAAAAAAGAAATTCAATGAGTCCGTGAGAAGTAATTTGATTTTTAAAGCCATTTTTTTGGTAGGAAGTTAGGGTTGTATTTTCAAACTTTTACCTGCTGTAAATAATTGGCAATAAATTTTAACTTCTGTGCTCATAAAATACCAAGTTTTTAAATTCTTCGTTTTTTACTAATTGTTAAACTCGCTGAGAAATAACATGAACTAAAGCATAACACACAAGAGCAAATAGCTCTACAGTGTTAGCCTATCTTTCTGACCTAACTCAAACTTTTACTGTTATTCACATTACATTTGCGTGAACTAATCCCTCAAAAAAAAAATTTTTTTTTTTTGTATTTTTTGTATTTTTTGAAGTTATCAGCAGATGGTTGCACAAATCATTGGTGGGAAAATACCGTCCCACCGACATTTAAAAATTAAAGATGTCAGGTTTTAAAAAGAGTAAAAATGAAGTTTTGCCTAATAGTTAAACATCATAATAAGCTACAAAAATAAAGTGCTCAAATGGCATGAAATATATTTTGAACGTGATAATCATAATTAATCATCTTCTCTTCACTTCTCTTCCAGATGACGAAGGAATTGCTGAGTCAGGCATCTGATGAAAACGATAAAAAGAAATTTCTGTGATGAGACTAAAGAAATACTTCGTTTCTTTTTTCATGACTTTTTCCACGTATCTTTTCCATTGTGTTAGATGCAGGCAAGCATCGTACATATAAAAACACTATTTTTTACGAACGTTGTGCGCTTTAAATGAACTTATCGAGTTTTTTTATTTTTCCATCAGTTCCACGAACGTTGTTTGTTGACGAACTGTCTTGTAATCAATTGAACTTGGAATATCCGAATTTTGAAGTCAAATCCGTTCGGGTCATTTATTTATATGAGTGAGTTGTGATTGATATGAGTTGTGTGTATAGATTTTTTTATTTTCTGTGCCATGCTTTTTAAGTAAGTTATTTGAATTATTAAATATAATAAAATGTTGCGTCCATAATTAAAAAATCTATTTTTTGTGTATGAATCTTGCTTCAAGTCAATGAAATAGTCAATTTTGATATTCTTTGTAATAACGTATTGAAAATGAAAGAAAAAAAAATGTTTTAATGTGTTTTTTTTATTGCTTATGTAGTTAAATTTTTAGATAAACAGCTTTATTATGCATGTACTTACTACTTAAAACTATAATATGAGTAATTTTATGTGCTCATTTTTGAAATTGATTAGCTTAAATTAGAAATAAAATATTTTAACTGCCCGTAAGAAAATCAAAAATTAAGATTAAGTTGTTGTTGCGCAATTTATGTATTTATTTTGTAACTATTATCTATCCTCCCCCAAAAAAAACTCAACATACAAATAAATGATTTTTTCTTCAATCCAAGTAGCAAAATATTTGAAGCAACCATAATTTTTTCATAATTCCTGGAACTATGAGGGATTACTGAAATATTCGCATTACGAAAAAAGTTAATTAAAAAATTGAATTATTATTTTTTTTGATTAAATAAACCATTGTTAAAAATTTCTTCATGTTCTAAATGATGCATTTATTCAGAATTTTAAAAATAATGCGACAGTTTATTTAAATTTAAAATATGCTTTAATTGTTAAAATATATGTTTAAGTCGAACTAGGTAAAATATGAAAATTTTTGCTCGTAAAATTAATATTTTATCTATCATACTTAGTTTATTACTATTAATACAACATTAATATATTTTAAGTAATTGAAAAAAAAATTTCTTAATTAGGTATATTTTTCAGGGAGTGATATTTTTCTAAAATATTTTTATTAATATTCTTACGAAACATAATTACGTTATTTATTGAATAAATATTATTTGTTACTAAGGATTTTTACTTTTGAAAAAAATAATATAAAGTACCATAAATAGAGAATTTAAAAAAAGAAAATTTCGACCGAAAATTTCGAGTAAGATTGGTACAAAAAATAGGATTTCTGTTTGGTTCAATAGATTTTTTTTCCTTATATTTATTCAATTGTTTCCTGAGTTACTATGTTTCTTTTATAAGTATTTTTTTTAATAAAAATGCATGAATGTTTATAAACATATTTCATAAATGTACTTCATTAAATATTCTAAAAATTATTTACGATTTAAAAAATGCATTTTTGCACAATGATGCAAAAACAGATCATTTTTTAGATAACGTTTTTGTTCTTTCCGTAATGCATAAATTAACGTACAATTATGGTGATAATTAAATATGTTATAAAAAGGAAAGAAAAAACATTTAAAATTGTAAACTTAGATATTTTTAATTTTAAATTTCATCAACTATTTATTTTATTCAGTTTATTGCGACATAATAATATTTTTCAAAATATCAATAAATTCTCTCTAATACTTTGTTAATAATATTTTTCCTTCTCACAGATGGCGTTCTGCGCAGTGATGTACTATTTATTGATGTTCTGATTCCAGTCAAACATTGTAACGTTAACATTATTCTCGTTATTGTTATTAAATATATTTTTCTGTTATAAGCAAAACTCTTTATATAGCAGAAAAATATATTTAATAACTATAACGAAGGGGGAGATTTCCGTATCGTAATCTGTGGCAGAATAACCGCCAAGTCTTGGAAACTTTCGGGCAGTGGCCCGCAAGAAACTAAAAAAAAAACATCACAGAAAGGGACCAACTTGAAAGGTATAACTCGTAGGCACCGCCGGGCAAACATCTACAAGTCTTTTTTAAAAAAATTTGCAAGTTTGAAATCTATTTGGCATCTTAGCGATTGTAGTTGGCGCTACAGATCACGATACGAAAATATCCCCGATCGAAGAATGATGTTAACGTTGAACGGAATCAGAACATCAATAAATAATAATGCATCACTGCGAGAATGTGAAATATTAACCAATGCTTATGTAGCTGAAACTTTTCAAAAGCGATTAATTTTTAATTAAATTAGTTTTAAAAATAGACAGGAAATTGTTTGAAACTAAAATGTGGATAAATTAAATGGTGTGTTGCAATTTCAGGTTATGCTCTGAACCTGAAAAACAGTTAATAATTTGGTACTTAAATATGCAGCACAAATTAATGTCATTATTAATTCATCTGTCATTTGTGTAATGTCATTGTCATTATTTTATTTATGTAATTTCTTCCATTCATTTAACAAATCAAAATGAAATCTTTTGTAATAATTTCACATTTAGATATGTTGAACTTATTATTTTTTTTAAAACTTTTTATTTTAAAACTTTTGCACAGAGAGGTTTTTGTATATTTTGATAGATGAGTCAAAACCTGTGATACGTCGTTGTTGTTGAAATGTTGAATGTAATGTTATTTTTTCACTTTGCGTTGAATAAAAAAAAATAATTATGATATTTTACTCGTTTTGTGTGAGTATTTTTTTTTAAAAAAGAAATTAAAAATCTTTAAAATTTGAAACATTTAGAAAAATAGTTGAAAAAGGATTATTGAAATAAATTATCAGTTTCTTCAGCCATTCAAAAGGGTTTTGATCCCGTCTTACTTAATAAGGATTTAACCCTTTATAGGGTAATTTTTTTCTAGCAATGTTATGCTAAAACAATTTGAGATTGATTTATAAAAGGATAATTATTTAACTTATTACCAATAATTATGTTGATTTAAGATACTTTTTAACGTGAAAGTGGGGGGTGGTTTAAAAATTACACCTTCTGCAAAAAATTGACCATAAACATCAACATTTGTTATAAAAAATAACCGAATTTATAAATACAACGCTTATAACCGCAAATAAACTAGATGATAAGTGTTCAAATGAAAGAACGCATAACGCGAAAAATAATTTTTTTCCCAATGTTGGCTTCTTGACCCCACGCAAACCTTTACTGTCACCCACATTTATGTAAACAGCCCTGTTTTTTCTGAAGCTATCAGAAATTTTTAATGAGGTATACTTCACACGGACTTATAAAAGGTTAACAGAATTTAATATTTTTATTTTGTTTTCTCATTAAAATATTAGTTTTCAGACCTTAATGAATGTATTTTTAGCGACGTTCTCTTAAAGATTTAAAATATAAATTAGGGATGATCATTATTATGAACTCTCAGAACTGACATAAGGTGCTTGTTACTAATCTAGTGATTTACCCGTGATCCAAATGAATACATGGTGTTTCGTAATCACCACTTTTAATATATGTTTTTACAATCCTAGTCATAAATGAAGCAAAGTATAGTTTGTCTACGGTAAGAACTCCCTCCTGTTACAAAGTCTGAGACCGTCTGCTGCTATGGAAACAAGAACGGCGCATTTCAGGGAGGGTAGCTTCTCTTCACTCTAGGGCTAACACAATAGAAAAATATTCTCTTTCTCCCTCCGGCTCGAGCTAAACCCAACCTAAACAATGACCCCACACCCCTACTTGAAATAGTTATACCTCGTTACCATGGTCACCACCACAGGTCCTGACGAATGGCTAAGGGAGTTCTTACTTTGGACAAACTCTATGCACATTAGGAATCATAAATTGTTCAGTTAGGAGAAAACAAAAACACAACCGAAATCTAAAGATGGGAGAATTAAGACCATCAAAAGCTGATTGATTGCCAATAAAAAGAGAAGAATTCAATTTTGAACATTAAAAAAAATCTATGAAAATCAAGTAATCTCCGCGACTTTGACATTTTTTAAACCGCGTTCTTTATTAGTAACTTGACATATTTCGATAGTGTTGATTTCTGACTTAAATATTAATTGATTACTCTTAATGTGTATACCTTTATACTAAATTTTTAACAAGGAAATTTAAAAAAGTAAAAAAATTATAAATAACGAACATTCTAAAGGTTTATTTTAACAGTATTTTCTTAAAGAGGGTATTAAACTGATGAATGACATGAAACTGTTTCAGCGCAAAATTAACCGTGGAACATTTCAGCTCAATACATCGAAGATTTATTCGAAGCAATATCTTTAAAAGTGGAAAACACAAATTGCTTTTTACTATTTTTGGATCCATTCATTTTAAACACGACTTTCAAGTCTCTATGCCATACTATTAACTCAAAAAGATGATGTTTTCAGGAATCCAGCTCAATATTCTTGGTTCAAACATAAAAACTTTTAAGCTGAATAAAAATAACTAGTTGACTATAAAAAGAAAATCGAAAAAATCACATCGAATCCCTTTAATTGAATTTTTTTGATTTAAAAGGGAATTTTTTTTTTATTGTTTAGAAAAAGCCATGAAGAAGGAGAAAAAATAATTCAAACAGATTAATGTTTTTTTTTTTAAAAAAAATAACAGTACTTAGAGGAAGAAAACATTAATTACTGGCACAGTTTAAGGAATTGTTTAAAATTGAATTGAGTCCCGCTTATTCTCATAAACTATTTTATCTATTTCAATGAGAATTTTATAAACAATAATCACAATTAAAAGCGAATAACCGNAAAAAATAACTCAAACAGATTAATGTTTATTTTTTTTTTTTTTAAATAACAGCTATTAGAGGAAGAAAACATTAATTACTGGCTCAGTTAAGAATTGTTTAAAATTGAATTGAGTCCCGCTTATTCTCATAAACTATTTTATCTATTTCAATGAGAATTTTATAAACAATAATCACAATTAAAAGCGAATAACCGTACATAACTTTTAATTTTAAGATTGGGTTTTCATGCAGTCGGACAGGTGATCGAGCGGTTAACGTGCCTGACTGCGGGTTCGAATCCCGCTCAGGGAATGGATGTTTCTCTCTCTGTGTTGTCCTCTGTTGTGAGTGATTTGCCAATGAGTTTCACCCCCGGAATATTTTATCAGCAACAAAAATACTTGTAATAAAATTTTTCGTTAAGATTATTATTATTATTATTATTTTACGCTGAAGAAGAAAAATAATCAGTTCAAGCATTTGTATTTCGTCCTTCTTTCATTCGAATTTAAAACTATCACATTATACATTAACGGATATTGACAGACCGTGAGAGAGCCGCGATAACTATATCCTCATGTATATAGAGAAGCTACATCCTAACAATTGTGATTAACTAATGAAATACAGATAAAACTCAAACGTTCCGGACAGAAATTATCCATATACATGAGGATATAGTTATTACGGCTCTCTCACGGTCTGTCAATATCCGTTAATATATAGTGAGATAGTTTTAAATTCGACACCTAATTTTAAAATTAAGTAAATTTTTATCATTATTATAATATCAAATAAGAAAATTAAAGTACTTATTGGCGCAATAAATTAATTGCGTAATAGTGTCCTTCATTAAAAGCAAATGACGGAAAACTATACGAATTCTAATACGAATAACAAAACTAATGTGAGTTGTTTCTATTATTTATAACATTATTATTTTCTAATATTTACTTGAATCACACTTACACTACTCTGGTCTTATAAAAATATTTTTGTATAACTTTAAATTACTTGTTGAATATTTATTTTTCGAGGTTTTG